GAGTGTGAGAGTGTGTGTGTGTGAGTGAGTGTGAGAGAGTGTGTGAGTGTGAGAGTGTGTGTGTGTGAGTGAGTGTGAGAGAGTGTGTGAGTGTGAGAGTGTGTGTGTGTGAGTGAGTGTGAGAGAGTGTGTGAGTGTGAGAGTGTGTGTGTGTGAGTGTGTGTGAGTGTGAGTGTGTGTGTGTGGAGGAACACACGAAGAGACAGTAACTCAAACACATCCAGTGCATTTGATGCCGCTCTGAAATCAAACACTGCAACTGACTGCAATGAAAGACAATGCGAGGAGCAGCTCGTGTTCAGAGACGATCCTGCATGACACAAAACAATCTGCAACACATGATGAAAAACCTGCCAAAAAAAACTTTAATAAAGAAAATATTAAATATAAAAATATAAAAAATATAATTTTAATACTAGAAACTAAAGAGCTGCTTTAAAGTGTTGAACTGAGAGACGCAACTTCTCAGAGGAATAAAATAATAATTATATTTACATTTTAATATTTAAAAAAAATAATTAAAAAAGATTTAAAAAGCTTAAACTTAATTTCCTTAATTAATTTCTTATAAAATATATTACTTATAAATTATTATTTTAAGCTTGTTCAGCCACAACAACATTTGTCATTTTGACCTATATAGGCATACTAACAAAAACAAAAATAAAAACTAATAAAAAATTACAAAAACAAAACAAAATGACTAAAAAAAAAAAAAAAAAAAAAAAAATACTGATCCCAAACTTGAACGGCAGTGTATATTTTATTGTAGTGTAATTTGTAGTGTTAGTAGTTTTTTAAAGAATAAAGAGTGTAGAGTGAACAACCTTAAAAGTAAAGCTGCAGGATAATGGTATATCACAATTATTTTGCTCAAATATATATTCATGATTATTAAACACGATTATTGTTGTAAAATACAAGGAAATTATATAAAATATAAAAATAAAAACTAAATACTAAAATAAGACAGATCGGCACAACCATACGCATCTTTAATTTTGACACTACCACTTAAAAGTTTGGGGTAACTAGAAATCACGAATTTAATGTTTAAAGCATTCAATTTGCACGGACCGAAAGTCACGCAGAGAACACGCGATCATGCAGGTCACACTTCACAAGATCTCACAACTGAATTCTACTAAGTTTGCAAGGTTTGTGAAATTAAATTTCCATTAGCCATTCAAAGATTTGTTTAAATGATATAAATGCGTATTTGCTGAATGCTGACGGCAAACGAGAAAGTATTATAATATTTGTCTTTCTATTACTAATAATATAAAAGCAATCGTTATAATACTTTTTGTATACATTTTAATTCCTTTGTTTAACAGTTCTATCTGATTATTAGACAGACTTCTATCCAGAACTACGACGACAGCGAACAAGAGGGAGAATGTGAGCACTGTGCTCAAGCGGCAGCACCATCAAAATAAAAGTCTGGCGCGCCGTCAAAATAAAAGTCCGGCAAGCCATCAAAATTAAAGTCCGGCACGCCGTCAAAATAAAAGTCCCGCCTCGAACGCATCAGCCAAATAGAAAAACTTATCGGCCGATGCCGATATTTGAAAAATACCAAATATCGGCCAATATATCGGCTATGGCAATATATCGGTTGACCAATATTCTGCATTATCACAAACCCCTATACTGCTGCGTCTCTGCCTGTTTGTCAGTATAATCGAAGCTCTAAGCACCTATTTCCGCATCTGCTGGTGTGTTTAGCTGTAAGAGCGGACTCTCACCCCAGTCGGCTCGCTCTCCGGAGGACGGCACCTCAGACGGACCCTCCATGTCCTCACTATTGGCCAGGAAGTCAAAGCCCTTCAGAACCTCCTCCGTTTCCAAGTCGTCGCTCATGTCAGCTGAGGAAGAGGAGGGAGACGGAGACACCTTCCTCCTCACCATCTACAACAGAAAGAGGAAGTGTGAGCGAGGGCAGCTGGTGTAACTAACATGTTCTGGAGCTCAGTGTTTGTGAGAGGCGTGTGAACGGGTGCGAGCGCTAACTCACGGTGGAGAGGTCCACGATGGTCTTGTTCTGTCCCTCGCTGTCTTCATCGTCGTCTTCATCGCTGAACTCTGCGGCAGCTTTCTCGATGAACTTGAAGGCTTCCAGCACCGAGGTGGACTCCGTCATCTCCGCTTTACTGCGGGTCCAATCCACAAACATACAGAGTTCAGACAGAGAGAAAGAAGACCAGTCATCATTCATCATGCTCGCATTTCACAGACACACAATCTAGTAATGCAAGTAGAGTGGAGGACAACAAATAAATAAAGGCTGATGTATCTTTAGTGAGTTAAACAAACAAACAAACAAATAAATAAATAAATAAATAGAGGCAGATATATCTTCTGGTAGTTAAATAAATCAATAAATTGAGGCAGATATATATATTATGGTAGATAAATAAATAAAATAAATATTAGCCAACAGTGAGCTAAATATATAAATAAAGCTAATATGGGCCGATATATCTTCAGGGAGTTAAATAAAATTAAATAAAATAAATAAATAAAATAAAATAAAATAAATAAATGTTGCTATATCTTCAGTAAGTCATATAAATGAATAAATAAATAAATAAATAAAGCTAATATGGGCCGATATATCTTAAGGGAGTAAAATAAATAAATAAATACATAAATAAATAAATAAAGCGAACAGATGCTGATATATCTTCAGGGAGTTAATAAAATACAATAAAATAAAAATAGAGGTAATAGTAGATGATATATTTTTAGGGAAATAAAATAAAATGTAATAGTGGCTGATATATCTTTATGGAAATAACATAAAATAAAATAAAATTTAATAGTGGCTGATATATCTTTATGGAGTTAATAAAATAAAATAAAAATAGAAGTAATAGTGGCTGTTATATCTTTAGGGAAATAAAAAAATAATAAATAAAATAAAATAAAAGGTAATAGAGGCTAATATATCTTTAGGGAAATAAAATAAAATAAAATGTAATAGTGGCTGATATATCTTTAGGGAAATAAAAAATAATAATAAATGAAACAAAAGGTAATAGGGGCTGATATGTCTTTAGGGAGTTAAATAAAATAAAATAAAATATTGCTAATATGGGCTGATCTAAGGTCAGTGATTGAAATAAATAAATAAGCTAATATTGCCTGCTCCATCACTGACCCGATCATGGTGGTGGTGCTGTCCTTCAGCGAGGCCGGCTCGGTCCCGTTCACCATGGGCTCGGTGCGCTTGTCTCCGGGTCTCTCTCCGCTGTCTCCAGTCAGACCGAGCAGCGCTTTGACCCGCTGCGACTTCACATCCAGGATGGTGTCGGTGTAGCCCACCTCCTGCAGGTACCTGAGCGGGACACCACAAACCTGACTTATCCAAACACTTCAGATTGCACATTAACTTAAGCACTTCCAGTTTATAGTAAAGCACGGAGTTAATATTTATACAAATTCATAACCAAGCAACTGCAACCGTGACACTCATGATCTCAGCTGCATGGCTGCCACAAAAATAAAATAAATTAATATAAAGAACATTTCACCCTAAAATCAAATAATAAGAACAAGATATTCTAGAACAGAAACTATATTAAACAGAACCATTACAATATCTTGCATGGTGTGCGGATGTATTACTGTAATCAGAATTTTTGGGAAAATGTGTTCAATTATCATGAAAATGATGTTACAATAATACTAAAAAACGTATTATAGGTCCTAAAATAGGCTTCACTTTCTATAAGCAAACCATAATTTCTTGTTTTATTCTTTTAATTCTAGTTTTATTATTTCACTAATATATTTATTTCATAGTTTCCATTTCCATTTTAATTTTAGTTAATGTTTTAGTCATTTTAGCATCATTGATATACTATTGATATTTTGAATTAGTTTCTATTTTTATACATTTTTGGTTTCATTTTAATTTAATTTCAAGTTTTTGTAATTTTGTTGTGTTTTTGTCATTTGTAATAAAAAAAAAATGCCTCTAAAGTTTCTATTTATTTTGATATTAGCTTTAATTTTAGTTATTTTATTACTTCAAATCAAATTTTAAAAAATATTTTATTTCAGCTAATGTTTATTTAAAATTTTAGTGAGTTTTAGTTTTAAAGATTTAGTAATTTTGTTGTCTTTTTAAAAAAAATGTCTGTACGGTTTTTATTCATTTTTATGTTAGTTTTAATTTTAGATATTTTAGTACTTCAAATATAATTTCTTATTTAATATTTAATTTCAGTAAACGTTTATTTGAATAATTTTTTTTAAGGTTCGAGTTTTAGTTTTAGTTAAACATCATAACCTTGAAACAAGCATGACAGGTTAAGCAAACAACTTTACAAAGCCATTTCTGAGTGGATCGAATGCGGTTTCTCCAGGTTTATCATTCTCTGGGACGATCGACACGCAGTTAAAGTCAAACCCCAGCGGTGAGAGAGAAGCGTCTATCAGTACAGTCAGTGTATGGATCACGTACCTTCAGTTAACCCGACACTCTCATAACTCCATTTTAATTTTTTTCAGAAATCATGTTTTTTTTATTGCTCATTCAAAGTAAATATCAACCAAACTGCAGTTGGATTGTTTTGATTAAGTAATAACTGACAGGTAATTTACAAAATTAAAGTTTATTGAAAGTATGTTTTTTTTTTACATATTAAAAGTTTGTTTTATAGCAAAAGCAGATAACTCCA